TGTCTTTCCACAGCCAACTATGGCAAGGCTCCCTTCTTTCTCCTCCTCTCTTGCCACAGCAATGCCAGACAAATGCACTTCATCCCCATCTCGAGTGAAGGCAAATGTGATCCTTAGGCTTTGCTTCGCTTCTTTGGATCCAATGGGCCCGCGGGGAAAGACGAGATCCAAAGCCCTCTCTCTCTGAAACCACCCCCGGTGCCGAAGACGACTGAGTCTCACGAAAACGAGTGATGATGTGTGGATCTAAAACCTGAGTCCTCCAACCTCATACCTTCTGAGGCCACGTCTTTCCCTCTTTGTCTGCCAAGGTCTTGCCTGATGCAGTGGCCTGTGCATACGACGCGCTGGAGAGCTACAGTATATATATATATCAGATGATCAGTCTCTTGCGTTTGCAAAATGATGCATGTATGTGTATATATTTAAAAATACTCTCCGACGTCGCCCTCAGTGAAACACGGGTCAAATCAATGGTTCAGGTGATTCATGGTTGAATGTGTCCTAAAGTTTTTAGAGCTTCCATAGCACTATACTTCGCCATTCTTCCAATATTTGTCACATCCAGTTTACAATCCTCTATTAGACTGCACTGGCTGCCGGCTCCCAATCCTCGTAGGACTTGCTGGCGTTTGTCTTCCCCTGATCTTCACCATTGACCGAAAGGCCTCGCACGCAAACCACCTGGTCTTTCCCTCCTCTGTGGACCACTGGTAAAACCAGTTTGGTTCGACGATCAAATCAACTTGCCCAACCCAGAGATTGTAACATAGCGGCTAGGTGGGAGATGCTATGCTGACAAGGTTCCATTTGCACTCCCGTGCAGCTTAGCCACTTGGTACACCTGCAATGAGGCTCAATCAGGAAATGTGTTGCGAAAAGGGCAGCTGAGACTTGTAGACAAACATGTGCTAGGCCATGTGGTCAATTGCTGAAATGGAACTGAACAACAGCAGTGCTGGCGGCAAGACTGAGTTGTATGCCGTCAGCGATTGTTTGTTCCTTTGCGATGCTTGACATCGGTGCATTCCCAAGACTGACAACTGACTCAAAAATTACATGAGCAGCAGTAGCTCAAGAAGTCACCAACAAACAAAAGGAAGAGGTCAAGGGGAAAAAACTAAAAGAAGAACGCTAACCACCAGGTTCAGAACACGGAGCCTTTCAATATTCTCAATGTTCATCCCCGCCTTCCAGAAGTAACCCACTCCATGGTCAAGACCAGAGACAACAGCCTTGCCTTTCCCTGGCTTGTTGCGGATAAAGCCTTTGGCATACCTGCGAGCTGAGGGCATGGGATGCAGAAAAGAAAAATGATAACGCCATGATGCCATGTCAACAAAGACACGAAATGATGCCGAGCATCGGTCTCGTATGGGTCCATCCCGTCAAAAGACATCTGTAGTCATTACCTGCCGGAGTTTTGCTCTGAGTTGAGGCTCAATGGCAAGGCTCACAATGGCAACACTCAGCCACGCTCCGACTCTAAAGGCTTTGGGATGGCGTCAGTCAAGAAGAAAAGTAACATGATGACGGACGGTTCAAAACAACAAGATCAATCGAGTCTTTTTGCGTTCATCTTTCCATCAACTCGACTGAAGAGGCGACCAGTGATGCCTCTATGACCGACATGGTTCTGAAGACTCACAGCCCGCCTAAGGTGTAGTAAAACGTCTTCGACTCGTCCAGGGTGCTCACACCACGGTCATCGAAGTTCTGATCGTCTAACCTCAAAACTGCATAAATTGCTGCATAAAGGATAATAGAAATGATTAGATCGAGGTCAAATGTGGGCGGACCTTTTCTTTCTGATGGACAATATCTTTTCCCTTTCGTTCTGTTGTCTGCCGCATCCTGCTGCCAGTTTTTCACTCCCTCTCATTTTCTCGCTTTCTCCGTCCTTGATCTCTCCTTTTTTAGACAACGACACACACGGTCACGGAACGAGGGCCACATGGGGGCACTCTCTCTGGGGTCTCTCGTTTGGTGGCCGTCGTCGCCGTCGTCTCCCGAAAGGACAAGCGACGTGGTCAATGGCTCCGGTGGTCTTTTCACCTCCGTTCGACGAGACACGGAGCACCACAAAGCCCATCTGTCGTTTTCGGCCTCTATTTACAGTATTTTACAGTCCAATTCCATCCCATTCCCGATATGCACTAGGAGTAAGGACGCTACTAGGGGCTCCTGGCCTTGCTACTTGGAGCAAGGACGCTACTAGGGGCTCCTGGCCTT